ACGATGCGCGATTGTGTTGTCATTCATTCAAACAGTAAGCAATAACAACAACTACAATACAGTAGGAATGCAACCCCGCACGGAGCGGTGGCGATGTTGGTGAAGATGTCTTGCCACATGCCAACAAACACTGCACACATATCATGTCGGAGGGTAAGCGTATGAGCCTACAAGCGACAACCCGACAACGTGCTGAAGGGAAAAGGGGTTGTGTCTTGTGGAGGACAAGGTAATGGGAACGCATTAAGCGACAATTTATTGACACTATATTTTAATGTCTATTGCAGTGCTTACGTTTTTTTTAAATGACAAGGAGTTTTTTATATCCTTCAATGTAAGCAATTCGTCTAACATACTGACGCGGTACACAAATTACGTAACGCAAAAAAATCCGGATTTTGTACCCAATGACGCTTGAAAAGACCCCCTCTAAACGTTGTCTTTCAAGCGGCGCCGGTGATGTATTGGTAAAATCCCTGATAAAGGGAAATGAAGCCGTTGGTTCCCGGTCCATGAGTTGATGGGTCGATTTAGCTAGGGTCCAAGTGTGGGAGCTGCCTCCCTGGCGTCGGTAGCATTGGTATTCAGTATAGAAATCAAGACGGAAATAAAATCCAGCAAACAAAAAAGGAGGTCGACTTTACTCACTGATATTATTTCCCTGAAGGAGGTGCTAGTAGTCAAATATCTACCTTACAACATCTTCTTGAAACTTAAAATTGGGGAAATGGCTCTTATATTGGCCTATGGATCTAAGATTGGGCCCATCGTTAAAAATCTACTTTTTATCAATGTTATCTAGATGAACGCATCATTGGGACGGTACTAATGGATATTATTGGTCGCTATTGAAAATTTAGTCGATTGCAAAATTTATGCATGGGCCCAATTTATATGACATCCATTTCCCCTACTAATTAACATTATATCAAATATATTATATTAACAATATGATCCACTCTTTCGCTTAGCTGGCGAACCAAATTTTTAGCGATGAAAGCACCTCTGTGGCCAAAAAGGTTACCAATGTATTTGTTTATCGTCACGAGGGGCAAACCAAATGAAAATTTGTTAAATATTTCAAATGAATGTTTTTCGGCATGTTATTTTATTTGATGACAACAGTGACATGTCAGACAAATTTTAAAGTAATATACACAATGTAATTAATGAAAATAATGTAACTCTTACTTTTGTTCTAAGTGCTATATTCACACCCCTCGATTGTAATTGAATGATTGTTGCTGACCTTTTTCAACGCCAGATGGTGCGTGAAGCAATATTTTGCGGGTCGCCATTGCAATGTTTGGGAAAGGCATGAATGGATCATATTGTTAATATGATATACTTGATTATATCATCTGAAAAAAAAAATCGTTAGAAAATTAGTTGAAGCAAGCCTGATCTCCATCATGCACATCACTCTCGAACGCTACCTAAAGGGTGGAACGGTCAAAAATCGGTCGAATCAAATTTGGTGATTTTTTTTTTTTAAAGGTGTATTTGCACTTTAAAGGTGCAATTTGGACAGTTTCCAAATTATTCCCACGCAGATTGATTGCGTCATTAATTTGATTGTGTTATTATGAACGATGAAATACACGTCAAGATGGATTTCAAGCAGCTTCCAGGTCAAGAATTTACACGGCAAATTTCTCGAAAAAAATACTTGGTTTGGCAGGTAATTTTCATCTGTGGGCTGAAAAGCGGAATTTTCGTGACAACTGGCACTGTTCACAAAGATATTTATGTAAAGGAATGTTTGCAAAAACACCCTTTGCCTGTTTTTGAAGAAGCACAATTATTCCGTGCTGTTTTAGCCAGACCTCACTTTCTTCCACTACGGAAAAATGGCTCGAGAACGGTAATACCACCAACAACGTCCAAGACGTACCCAAGGGCAAAACCCCTCCAAACTCGCCAGAGCTACGCCCAATCGAAAAATATTGGGCAATCGATAAGCGGAATCTCAAGAAAACTCAGAAAAAAAGTTGAAAAATGAGAAACAGTTCAAATCAAGTTGGCGTTCAGCATCAAATAAGGTTGATACAACAGCGGTACGAAATCTGATAGAAGATGTGAACCGTAAAGGCCAGCAGTTCGCATTTGGTAAGTCGGTACCGTTGAACTTCAAAAAGAATTAAAATTTGATCATTTATATAAAACATAATCAGTAGGGTAGAGAACTACTTCAGCCTAATCGCCCATTTTGGGCCTATCGAGCAGAAAACTTCAAATAAATCCATGATTTCAGATTTAACAAGTCAATTATGCGTTCGGTACGATACTTTAGCTAATAAGCTACCGAACGAAGTTAATGAGAACGCGTGATATGAAGGGTTGTACCCATTATTCCCAAAAATAAAAGAAGCGCTCCGACCGAATCATGTTTTATCTTCATCCGATAGGCTGAAGTGAATTCATTGGCGTTTCAATGACGTTTCAATGCGTTAGGCCGAGTTTAGAATCCGTAGGCCGAGTTTGGCGTCAAGAAGCGGTGTTAGACTTTTGACAATATCTCAACGATCGGTTTCTCTTTATCAAATCTTACGGTACATATGGAAAGATAAATAAATTTGGAAGCCATCAGTCAAAATAACATTCCGTTTGGTGCAAAACTGCGCCAGATTAAAACAGACTAAGTGCGGGTTGTGCTTAATAGGCCGGAAATGGGGTGGTTAACCCTATGCATGTTTTTTTTTCAGACATTTGGAGTTTACTAACTAAAATTGATTTCCAATACTGAAACTCCCCTTGCTTAAAATAACGGGGTATAACTAAAAAATCAGAATGATTTTAACTCTCGCATACCAAACCACAAACGTGCACAGAGAAAAGAGAGATTATGTGAATCAATGCTCTCTTTTGCCCCAACATAATCGTATGTTTTGTTTTGTTCCAACTTGTTCAGTGGGTGTTCAAAATGCCGTCGAAGCAAGAAGCATTACGCGAGCGGATTGTACAGTTCTATCAAACGAACATAAATCACGGGAAAAAGTTCACTGTGAACCATTTTAAAAGCGAGACTATTCCAGTTTCAACCATCTATCGTATCCTGGCATGGTCAGGAACAGCTCATAGGAGTGGTAGTAGGAGACCGGCTAAAATAATGGACAAGAAAGGACTTAGATTGCTCCATAGTACTTTTAACAACAAGGATTCGATTAGTCAATCTGATGCAGCAAAAAAGTTCAAGACTACGCAACCTTACATCTGCAAGACGTTGAAGAAGATAGGAATAGTCTGCCACAAGAAATCAAGAGCACCAGAATACACGGAGCAACAGATATCAACCGTAAAATTCCAATGCCGCTGGATGACCCGAAATCACGCCGGAAAATGTTTCGTTTTGGATGATGAAAGCTACTTCCCTCTCTCAAAAACCCACATCCCAGGAAACGATCGATATTATTCTGATAACATTTCTACTGCATCTCCGAACGTGAAATATAAGTTTAAGCATAAGTTTGAGCAGAAGGTGATGCTTTTTATTGCCATATCTGAGAGAGGAATTTCCAAACCATGGTTCAAGCCCAGTGGTTTGGCTATTAATCAAGAAGTGTACCAAAATCAATGTTTGAAGAAAATATTGATTCCATTTCTTCAAACATATCATGCAGATGGAAATTAAGTGTTTTGGCCGGATAAACCGTCGTCGCATTATGCGAGACAAACACAAGCCTTCTTGGAAAGCCAAAACATCCCCTATGTACCAAAAAACCGCAATCCAACAAATTTGCTCCAGTGTCGCCCGATTGTAGATTTCTTTGGATATTTGAGTTTGCTGGTATGCAAAAACAGCTGGAGACCCAAAGACTGTAAACAACTGATTAATAGAATCAAAATATGCATTGGCCAAATGGATAAAGAAGCTGTACAACGCTCCTCTTCAAACATCAGGACAAAGCTTCGTCGAACAGCTGATGATGGACCGTATTCAAATGTTCATTATTTTTTTTTTAATGTTTTTTCAAATTAAATCAATCTGTTTTTCTTTCTATAAACAAGTCTTTTTGTTATGGCCCTCAAAGAAAATTCTCATTTTTTAGTTATACCCCGTTAGTAATTTAAGCTTTTTCAATTTTAGATGTCCTTCATTTCATTTGTGAAAATGGTAAAGTCATAGTGGAAATTTATGTTTTTGGATATAAACCTTGATTTTCAAGTCCAAAACCACACTAAGTAGTTCAAACCTAGATAGAGCTGGAATTAGGGCGTAACAGTTTTTGTAAACAAACCAACATATTCTGGGGAAGTCTTCCCCTACTCGAAGGTGATGTCGATTTGCCAAGGAGAGTCATGACTTTCGAGAAGTCATTGTTTACGAAAGCTGTTACGCCATAATTCCAGCTCTATCTTCGTTTCACGTTCAATATACCGTGGACCCCCGTAAATTTGTACGACACTTCGTGCATATTAACGGAGTTCATTTTAAATTTGAACTTTTAGTAACCCTTCGACCATCAGAAAAGCGAGTTTTTGGTAACCTTGTTTGCTGTTTTGGTTTGATTCTGTGTTTCTTTTCGTTTTGTTCCATTTCGATTTTCTCCGTTCTATGTGCTAAATGATGTTTGAGCAATTTTTAGTTTGCACGGCGTGCATATTAGCGGGGTTCAAACTAAAAACTGTACAGATTAAAAACGGTCTATGGTCCACGGTAGCTTCATAGTATCATAGCTCTAAGACTAGAAGGTCCCGAAGAAACGTGCTCTACTTTTTGGCTCAGCTCTGGTACTCTCTTCGGTCCCAAGATAATCGATGCACCCCTCGAAACATAGGAAAATCCACGAACCCCTCATTTAATCGGTCAAACTTTCATAGCGAATCAAAGCAAATATAGTGTAGTGTAGAAACGTCTGGTTCGGTCCGAGGTACAACTGATAATGAATATTTATTCTCATGCTTTAAGGTTGTTACAAAACCAATGGTTACTTAGATCCTACATTCCCTCCTTACGTTTAATATTTTAAAGATTTAATATATTCAAAGTTTGTAATCTGCTAAGTATTTAGGTACATGTTTCGAGCGCTTGCTGGTAGCTCGGCTAGTCTCAAAAGGGCGTTTTCGACCATCGCATCGTGAGACCATCTGAGGTTCCGTAGTAGTTTGGCTGGTAGAGGGTTGTCATCTTCTTCTTGTGTGCCCTCAGAGATTTTATGATTATCTGCGTCATTCTCCTGTTTCATCATGGGATTCGCATTTAGGATTCGTTTGGAGTGGTTCACGTGTCGATTGGAGATCACACTGCTTTTAATGTTCTTCAAGTGGAGCCGTGATCCGTCGCGTTGTATCACAAGATGAGGTTCGGGGTTGAAAGTGGTTGTTAGCTTATTTTTCTTGACAAAATTTTTCACAATCACATAATCTCCAACATCGATATTGCATTGCTTAGCTCTCCTTTTTGAATCCGCATACATTCTTCCTTTTTCTTTCGCCTTCCTATCGTTTTCTCTTGCTTCAGTTGCATTGACTGGTCTTGAGTTTCCTGGTATTTTATCCCGAACGTTCCACCCAAACATCAATTCCGACGGTGAAAACTTTGTTATGCTGTGAGGTGTTGCTCGGTAAGAGTGAAGAAAATCTTGTAGATCATACCGCCAATTACGTCCCATAGTACAGCTTATTTTCAAGGTCTTCAATAAAGTTCTGTTTTGCCTCTCGACCAATCCATTTTGAAAAGCTGCATAAGGAACTGTATGCTTGATTGAGATTGCATTTGTCTGACAAATATTCAAGAATTCTGCTGAAGAAAATGGCTGACCATTATCGCAAACAACTTCAATAGGATAGCCGAACCTTGCAAAAATTTCCCTCATTTTAGTGACTGTTACTTTTGCTGTCATTGAAGTAAGTATAGCAACTTCAACGTACCGGGAGTAGTAGTCTGTCGCTACAAGCAAATGGTAACCGCCAGGAATTTCCATGAAATCCACCGCTATTTTCTTCCACGGTCCGTTAGGCATCTCGGTTCTTGTTATAAGAAGTGTATCAGGTTCTGATACAAGCGTACATCCTGTGCAAGATTGGACGAATTTCTCTACCATAGAGTCCATCCTAGTCCACCATACTTTAGATCGTAGTCGACGTTTTATTGCTGCAATTCCAAGGTGAGGTTCGTGTGCAAGCTTCAAAATTTGGGTTTGTAGGATTCGAGGAATTACAATTCTTTGATCTTTCATCAATAAATGTCCATCACTGGTGAAGTATCCCGACATCTTTGCATAACGCATTAATGTTCTAGGCCAACGTCGAGAAGGGTACGGTAACCATTTAATCAGTTCTTGCAGTTCTTCATCTGAGTTTGTGGCAGTTACAATTTCCTGAAGGGTTATTGCCAACGGGCAAGCATCACTAGCTATCATTCGTACGATTCTTTCTGATTCTTCATCAAAGCTAGGTCCATTATCTGGTACAGATTGGCAGAGTCGTGACAGCGGGTCAGCGATGTTATTCTTTCCTGGACGGTACATTACTTTGAAATCGTCGGACATCAGGCGCAACTTCCATAGTTCAATTCTTGGTGACGGCTTCAGACGATCTCCAAAAATCACGACTAACGACTTATGGTCCGTAACCAGATGGAAAAACTTCCCGTAAAGATAATAGTGAAACTTTTCACAAGCCCATACTAATGCTAAAGCTTCTCGCTCAGTCTGCGCATACTTCTGTTCTGTCGGAGTGAGAGTTTTAGACGCATAACAGATCACACGATTGCGATTATCTTTCCCTTTCTGTACCAAAACAGCACTAAGGCCAACAGGACTCCCATCGGCAATAACATAAGTTTCATCGTCAACATTATAAAATCCAAGGGTATTTTTGTTAAGTAGAATCATCTTAATTTGCTCGAATGCTTGTTGGTGTACTGGTTTCCATTTGAAGTTTATGCCTTTCCTTGTGAGCTGATTTAGGGGGTGTGTAATGGTTGCCATATTTGGAACATGTCGATGAACGAAATTAACCAAACCAAGCAGACTTCGAACTGCTTCTGCGGACTTGGGGACTTGTAATTTTTCGATAGCTTCCAGTTTTTCTTGAGAAATTGAAATTCCTTGTGTAGAAATGTGATAACCCAAGAAGTCTATTTCCCTAGCGCCTGTGATAACTTTGTCAGCATTCAGTTGTATCTTGTACTGCTTCAATCTGTTATACACCATCAAAGTTCTTTCACGAAGCTCAGATTCGTTTCTAGCGGGGATCAGAATGTCATCGATGAAAATAATAAGCCATGGAAGATCAGCAAAAATCGTCTCCATAACTTTTTGAAACAACTCAGGAGCAGCAGAAAGTCCAAACATGAGCCTTTTATAACGGAATAAACCAAGGGGGGAAATGAAGGTGGTGATGTATCGACAATCTTCTCGAAGAAGAACTTGATGGAAAGCTTGTCGAATGTCAAGTTTAGTGAAAATTTGATTTCCTCCGATTTTCTTCGTTATTTGCTCGAGTGTTGGAAGGGGATGGACTTCTCTAACTATTGCTTTGTTAGCCTCCCGGAGATCTACAATAAGTCTGACCTCATCGAAGCTTTTACGCTTTACTAACATTGGAGAGACCCATTCAGAAGCTTCATTGACACGTTCAATGATGTCCTGCTTCTCTAGCTCCCGAAGTTTTTTCAAGGTCAATTCTTCAAGAGGAAATGGTATGCGACGAAGGCTTTGGCGGACTGGAGTTACAGTTTTATCGATTTTGATATTAGCAACAATACCTGTACACATGTGAAGTTTAGAATAGATTTATTTAAATTTACCTGTATAAATTATTGCTTACCATCCATATGTGGGAACGATTCATCATTCACTGCTTGCAAAAATTTCACCAATCCAAGTTTGACTGCTGTGTCACCTAAGAGAAGCGAGCATTTCCCATTCTGGATCACGTAGAACGTAGTGTCGGTACTCCGACCGTCGATCATAGTTTCTGCGTCGACTTCACCAAGCACTTTCAACGGTGTATTTATCCCATAAGCATTCAATACTTTGCTGCTTCCTCTCCTGATAGAGTATGCTTCAAACCCAACGCGTGTGAACGTAGCCCAATCCGCTTCGCTTAAAACGTCTTCGTCTGCTCCTGTGTCAATCACGAACTTCAAACAAACTCCTCCAACAGATACTGGAACCAGCTTCTTTCCTGCTCCTAGATGGAAAAAATCAACTACATCTGAGTTGCGCTCGGTTCCATCTACAGATACTTCTCGTACGAATCGCTTTTGTTTACGTGAAGCTCCGAAACGATTGTACTCGGACGGTTGTCCGTTGGTCTTCTTCCTTTTTAGAAAACAGCAGCGGGAAAAGTGTCCCACTTGACCACAACTTCTGCATTCGAGTGATTTGGCTGGACACGATGGATCTTTCGAATCATGTCTGCCATTGCATCGGAAACATCTGAACCGCCTTGGTCCTCCGAGTTTGGAGCGTACCTTCAAAATTGGCTCTTCATTGGCCTCCGTTTCGACAGCGCTGACTTTTTGTAAGTTTCCGTTCCGATTGTCCAAATCGCTCATCTGTATTTGAACAGACTCGTGGGTACGACCGATCGCTACGATCTCCTTGAAGTTAAAGTCTTTTTCCAGGCACTTCCTCTTCAGACTCACATCCGTTGTAGTTGTAATAATTTGGTCAGCTACCATGCTTTCCAGCTGATCTCCAAAATCACAGTAGGCTGCCTGCTTTTTCAGTCTGATGACAAAAGTGTCAAACTTTTCACCTACAGCTGGTTTCATCTCGCGGAACTTCTGACGTTCGAACGTTTTCGAGAGTCTCGGTACAAAGTAATCGTCCAACATTGACATGGCAATGTGGTACCGGTTCTCCATAGCGTGTGATTCGTCAACATGAACTTGCTTGACCACTTTCCGGATGTCTGGTCCACCGAACATCATCAGGGATTTGAATTTTTCCTCCTGATTGTCAACGTCCTTCCATGCTAGGTATGCTTCAAAATGTTCACGCCACTTCTCCCAGCGGGCAGACACTGGTCCGTCGGCATCTTCGGCAAACGGAGGGATCAACTGGTTTACCTAGAAAATACGCATTGTAAGGTATTTTACGAGCTACACTACGTCTGTGACGTATTTTTATCAAAATTCATGTGATCTGCGTACTACACAAAACTCAGGTTCCGCACTGAAATACATATACACAGTATCACTCTGCGTACTTTATCCCAAATGTTGGGTTCCGCATTTAACATTCTCTAAGTTCAGATTTACTGCGTACTACATCCTTAAACGTCGGATTCCGCTTAAAATATCTCATATTTTCCTGCGTACTTCATTCCAAACGAAAGGTTCCGCTTTCTTTCACATTAGGAATTTCTGCGTACTGCATCCCATGAAACATTGGGTTCCACATAATGATACTTTTTACATATTTCACTGCGTACTTCATCCCGTTGCTATGGGTTCCGCGTATTTTGTTTAGAATTTTCCAGAATCATCGGGTCTCACGTCATCAACAAAATTGTTTTAGTGAGAATCATCCCTAAGCGATTAGGATTTTCATCCCGAAAAAAAAAATACCCTGAACTGCCTCTATTTCTTAGGATGTTAAATTCCGGGTTTACGGGAGAAATTGAAATTCAATTTTCTCAGGTAAAATCATCCCTAAGAATTTTCTATCCACGGAAATGATTTCAGTACATTAGAATTTTCCACTGCAAACTCTCTCGAAAATCTGCTTTATCACAAGTACTCACCATAGGCCAAGCCATCTCACGGGGGTCCGAGTAAAATTTTCTGGGGTGGAGTGTCCAAATCCGTGGGTAACTTTTATCGCTCGTCGCCAAAATGTAGAAACGTCTGGTTCGGTCCGAGGTACAACTGATAATGAATATTTATTCTCATGCTTTAAGGTTGTAACAAAACCAATGGTTGCTTAGATCCTGCATGTAGTACTAGAATTTCGACTAGAATGGGGTTCATTAAACGATTTGCTTGGGACCAACAGGCTAGACAAGTAGTAAGCCAATTTAAAATCGTTAGTTTCCACCGGTTGGTAGTATTGTAGTGCATCAAGATCAATCTTCAAAAGAAGCGCAATATATTCAGCAGGATAGATAACTCATGTCCTAAAATGAGTGTTACATTCTCACTCTAACCTTTACATGCAAAGCTATTTCTTCTAACGGTCTATGATAACAGATCAACGCCTCGCTTCACTATAAAGTTTTGCACCGCCGGGGTTAACCTCCATCGGATAACAGTTTTGTCACTGATAAACAGACACGACTTTTTGAAAAAGTTTTTCTTGAAAACATAGTATATTAAAACATTGGACCTCAGTAACGACATCTCTCGGGCTTCTCGCGGAAAACAAGCTTGCTCGCTAACTCGCAAATAATATTGTACAAAAGTTCTATAGAATGTATAGAAACGTCAAAGTGATCCGATGCCAGCGCGGCGGCGAGTAGTTCGCGGAACTGATAATTTTCAAATCAACCGTTAAATGCGTGAACGAAGATACACAATAAAGTCTTACGTCTGTTAGTCTGTGGTTTAGTGGTACTGTTTACGTATGCTTAGTCGATTTTTTATTGGATAGATTTTCTCAATAATTGTGATGTAAACCAAAGTGGTAGGTCACTCAGCACAGTGTGCCAAAAATACAGTAGAGCACACCATGGCTCACTCAGTTGGCACCCATGGT